GCGAACCTCAGAGTGGACCACAGTGGATATGGATTTTACCAGCTCATTGGTTTTGCCTATTAAATTTCATCGGAACTCGATCCAAAGCCCACAGCTCGGCTTGAGCGAAAGAAAAACCCACCCTGTTTACCCATAGCACACTGATAAGTGTTTCTGGGCGATTGGTTGTGATGAGGATATGGTATAAGACCGGCACAAACTCCTAGAAGGGTGAATGGCTCGATCTGTAATTGGGAAATTTCGAATGAATGCGATCAACTACGGTGATTTGAAGTCAGTGGGCGCGATTGCTATGGCGGGCGGTTGTTGCCAGCGTCATTGGTGGGAGGGCTGCGAGAGGGCGGTCGTCCATACTCCTTCTACCAATGACACCTGCGTCAAGCGCTCGCCGCCAGCGATCGTGCCAACGGCCTTTAGTAAGTTAGACTTAGGAGAGTAAGATTCAGCCAGATAGACACCTCCAAATGAGTCGTCTTCGCATTCACATCAGTCTCGTACACAGCGATAATCGCATCATTCATTTCGTTGACATCCAAGTACTCTATCAATCCGTCATCCACGAAATCCTCGAATATACGCTGGCCATCTTTCAGCTCCTAAGTAACTGCGATATCACATCACTTGAATAAGTGGAAGATACAGTGAAGAATTAAGCATTTCAAATTATCACCTTCAAATTATTAATAGCCTTAAAATTTTTCGGTTCAAACTTGGCCCATGGGGTTTATCGAGGTCCTGGTCACGAAGGTAACAACAGCTCCTGGTGCCGGCGCCACATGGTGCCAATTACTTCACCAAAATCAGTTTACGCACCGAATTGGATCGACATCCTAATTACGAGAGTATGAGGCATTCTCAGCGCTGGCTCTACTAGGCGCCGGAATAGTGTCGGCGTCAATTTAGCGCCACCATTTCCATCGCCAGAATCGGTATAAACTTGCACTCAGGCATTATTTGTCATATTTATTACAAATGTAGTAGTCGCTACTGCTGCCGGCTAACGCAGGGTACTCCGGTCCTCTGCGTTTTGTGAGAGAAAGAAATAAAGAGAGGTAAAAGTACTACAGAAGACCAATGGTTTGTTTTGCCCATAACCTAAGTCATAGATAGGGAAACCACTCCTGTTCCCAGGCTCAACCTAAACGGAGCGCTGAATGGCACTGGCGCTAAGAAATGGTGGTCATATCCATTAGAAAAGCAAAGAAAAGCAACATGGGAAAGGAATACACTCCACAGCACAGATGATCCGTTTCGCTCGGTATCGCAGACGAATCATCATTGTCTAGCCAACCCCCGAGCTCATCAGTGCGACAGGTTGACGACATGAGGACATGGACTACATAAGGGGAGGTGTTGAGAAATAGAATAAAACGAGAGAGAATGTAAAAGTTAAAGGGGGGGGGGCACATGCAAAGTTCATGCTATCAAGGTAATGATGAATTAATTATACATATAACCAGTCGGATCGCCCGGCTAACGCCGAGCTCTCCTCCTTCTTGGAAGCCCGGCTTCGCCGGGCTCATGCAACTGCTTTAGAGCCTCACTTCTTAACTCGTGAAAGAAAGGAGCAAAGTAAGGCATAAGCAGGGCGATACTACTGTCTTAGGCATTTATGATGCTCTCATGGTGACTAACCGGTGTCTTCTAATCAAATAAATGTAGGAACGCGCCATATAGTCGCAGGCACTTTTATAATGAAAAGTTCAAAATCTGGTCATGGATAATCGATTACTGTTCTCCCCATCTTATGACAGCCACGGATTCTTCGGTCTCCGCAGTCGCTGAGTGCTCCTGTTCAGGCGAGCGTCGGTCGCGCCAATATGGTACCCCTTCACCTCACCTATCCCCAAACTAACCTCAGCTATTCCCCGCTCAGCCACCCTACAGGTCACACTCAGCTGCTACGCGAATAGCCCGTGCAATGGTTCTGAGTGCAGCTAAATGGTTGTGTTATGTTGTGGAGGGTGTTATGACTATCAAAACGCTACCACAATTTGATAATGCAACATTAATCGGTTCAGTTCCGATTGCGGTCGATCCATTTTCTTCCCATCTTATCGCAACCGTAGACGCCTTACCGCCGCAGGCGCTATGTGCTCCTAATCGCGAAATCGCCGTTCTCATCTGGTATCCCCTCACCACATCATATCCCACTGACCCTATTCAACCGGACAGCCCGTCAACTTCCCGCACTGGTATGCAGCCGCCATGGGCATGCAACATAGGGACACTCACGCGATCCGCCACTGTTCTTAACCACCCCCGCCTGCTCGTGCTCACGTCCAGCTCGCCAAGGCGACAGCCCTGCAGTAGCACAGAGTATATCACAGTGGTTGGCTTAGATAGCGGGAGCGATTCACAATCCAAACAACTTCTTAGTTCGTTGCTGTAACATGGATTAGCTTGCAGTTTTGCTAGCGGTTCTTTCCTTCTCTCTTGCCGCCTGCTCCTATTCAAGCGTACGCTACGCATCCCCTTACTGTACCCAGTTTGCCCGATTCAATCCATATGCCTCCTTCCCCTGCATGGGCTCAGATCCGACTGAGTACGCGCAAGGAAGTGAGGATGGGAGAAGGGGTCACTCGATACTAACTCCCACCTTCCTCACCTCACCCCATTCCGTCGCCATTCACCCCACCCCCCCCAGGCCGCGGGGCCCTTGCCCTTGCAGCGCGCTTACGTGGAGTCCAGCTGCCACTGCGAGCAAAACACGTGCATGGCTCGGATGTAAGTGTTTTCTTATGTAGTGGAGGTGGTTATCACAGACCAAAACACTTCTTAGTTTCGGTTACGGTTAACATAGGTTTGGCTTTGCAGTTTTGTAGGCGTTTGTTTTTCCATCATCCTTGTCGCGCTTTTCTAACTGAAACCGCGGCTGCTAACGTACGCACCCCTCACTGTACCCCCTCCCCGCGACCCTCCCCTCTGCCTCCCTCCCATACACTTGCTCAGCTCCGGCTGAGCACGTGCAGGAGAGGGAGGGAGGGAGGGCGCGCGGTACGCCACCACCCTGCCCCCGCACGAGCACACGTCCAGCTGCCACGCCAGCAGCTCGTGCAATGGCTCGGAGTGTACCCAATGGTTGTCTTATATAGCGGAGGCTGTTATCACAATCAAATCATTGGACTGCTACATCCTCCCAGTCGGTTACCGGTTTGCCTAGCGGTCGTTTTCGCCTCCCAGTGAGCGAACTCGAACCCGTGAAGTATTTTGCGGACGGACAGACAAACATACATACATACATACATACATACATACATACATACCTACAAACCTACATACATACAAACATACAAACCGACACACAAAGTTACTGGTTTATAGAATGAAAGATACAAGAGTTGATATCATGATGTTGGATTGTTGATAGGTTAAACCTACTGAGAGATGTAGAGTATAAAACAATGTCCAAGCGGATTACAAAAATGAAATAAAGTAAACGGTGTAGTGAAGGGAGAATAGTGTTGAACACCCGCTGAAATACCTTTCACGTATCTGATTTATCGTTTCCATAGTTATTTGCCGAACTGAGTATTTGTTAAGCTTATGAACTTTATTTTTGTAAAATACATTTCTCCACTAACATATAGAACAATAAATTCTTACTTCGAACCATTTTTCAAAAGAGTTGTGACCATATCCGTTATTTTGCTAACGAAAACGTTGAAGAACGAACAAGTGTTCGCTAAGCCTCAAAGTTTCCGTATATATAACAGAGGATTTGTTAATAAGGGAAATGTTTGTGTCACTATACGGAAATCTGATTACATTGAAGCTAAAATCATCCGTTTTATACAGCTTGGTACTAATTTTAAACCAGGGCGTTAGTAAATATTAATTGTTAAAGTCTAAATGGAAGTGCTTGAAGTTTACTATTATGAGTTTTTTCAATTGAAGGGTATTTTGGTAAACTTGAGAAAGTTGTTCATCCACATCATCATCAGTTTGGTTATGCACAACAAGCAAATCATCCATATATCTGTATGGAATTGAACAGCTTACTTTACTTTTAGTTTTAGCATAGTCATACTCCATGACAGAAAGCGTAAGATCTGCCAGTAGTGGACTAAAATTGCCTCCTTGTGGGACACCTTTAGTTTGCTTGAACGTATTATTAGCAAAGAGACAAAAACTGTTACGTAAAAGATAGTCAATAAAGTAAACTAAATCGCTGGATTTGTAATATCTGTAGTTGTTCTTAAATTCTTCTACCATCTGTATAGAAAACATGGTAACCGTTAGTGGCATAAAGGAGATGGCGTCGGCGTTGCGGCATTTTTGAAGCGAGGCTGATGCACCCCGCCAGTAGGCAACGGAAACGTGTGTACTGACCTGAATATGGTGAGGTTGAAGAAGCACTTTTCCATCTTCAACGATCAAATATGGACGACATGGCAAAGGTGCGAAGCGCGATCCATCAAGCTGCGAGTATGTAAACGAAGTAGGCGCGCCAGTGGTAAGAGTTCGAGAACGACAGTAGACTCGGGTAAGCAAGCCAACTTCTAGAAAACAGCGCTGAAACTTATGAATGCGTTTTTCTCAACAGTAACGAACCGATAGATGTGCACGATAATCTTGCAAAGTTCTGCGGAGCACCAACATTCTTCATGAAACAGTATAAAGGGGCCGTCCGCGTGCAAAAATGGTGACTCCACTACTAATGACAAAATTGTGAGTGACCATATAAGTGAACAAAAAAGCAGGAAAAAAGAGCGGCAGGAAATGCCACATAAGGAACCCCAGGCTGAACTGCAGTTTGCCACGCGATAATGCGAAGGAGTGGGCGCTGGTCGCGAGTTCTCCGCTCCAGCTGGTATCGCTCTTTCTTCGTCTCCTTAGATTTCTCACACATTTAAAGGAAAAAGAGCTAAAGCGGAAGAACCTGTGGCGCCAGGAGACCTATAGCAATTTAACGTTTGTTGGCTACGGATTGGCATAGGCGGAGCTGTGGCTGTCGTCCGTGCCCTGCCTCACGCGAATGCAGGGCGGTGCTACAAACCAGAGATCGGAGAGGACCAGAAGTCATCAGAAAGCCGAGGAAATCTAAGTTAAAATTTGTCAACCTAGTAACCGCTACGCCTCGCTAGCCATTTGGAACGCTGAGGATAAGATTTGTGAGACCCCATAACATATGCGAAAAGAAGAAAAGGTGATACAGAAACAGGAAACAAGAAATCGATGAAAAATGCAGGAAATGTACGAAGAGATTAGCTTACCTCCTCACCGTTCTCACCGCACGCACGACACGAGCGGGATCAACAGTGGTGCCGACTAGCAAACCGTTGAGAAATACTTGATGGTAGTTGCTGAAAATTGTTTTGTAGAGCACTTTCAACAACTTTCGTGAATGAGCTTCTCAACTTACGGATTATTGATATGAGAAAAGTGCATATTCTGAAGATCTTCCACTCCGGAGTTGAAAAGCAGCCGAAGCACAGGCTAAAACGTAAGCATTCATTCCGCAGCCCACAGACGAATATTTTGTTATGAAAACGTAACCTACCCTCTCGTCTGAATCTGTTGTTATGTGAGAGATGAGCGCTAAATTTTTCACTAAACCGCAAGCTTCTCCTTCCGGTGTATCACTTGGACACAACATTCCCCACTGAGAGGGTTGCAGTGATCGTGGGCCAGAGACCTACAACCAACGTACATTTAACGAAAGAAAGCTTGAGCGAATCACTTTCAATAATAATTTAAAATTTTTTGTTGATGACACGCGCTAACACCGTCGCGCATTTCGAAGTAGAGACATTTCCAAGACCCAATTCTACAAGAGATTCTGATTCTGCCCTGTACCCGCGCTTAGACTTTTCCTTACTTCAAGCCGCTCAGATTAGCAGAACGAGTCGAGTTCCCTTGAGATATTTTTCTTCTTCATCGCGGTGTTAACCTCACACTGGTCGCGTAACCCGCTGTTTTTGCTGGACACTGCCATTTCTTCAATACTTTTACAACTTCCATCAATCCTTGCTGTGCTGGTCTCTCATTCAGCGTACTGGTCAACCTGGGTCTCGCGATACAATTTTTGTAAGGTACGGTTTTAGCTTCCAACTAAAGGCACTTAGGAGGGGGGCAGACGTGAGCTTACATTCTTAACCACTCGGTTACCTCTGCCGTTGAATCTCGCCAGGAGCACCAAACCGACCATGAGATGTATAAAAGAACGCAGTAAACATCTACTTACTTTACGAGTCTTTTCGAAAGTAGAGTTGATCCTTGTCATCATTCCCAGAGCTGAGATATACGACAACCGACTTAGCACCTGGAAATTTTGCAGCTTCCTAAGGTTCTGCCTGGACTAATCAATTATAAATGTAATGCTGTTGTTTATACTTTGCCGGCAGCGTAGCGCACCGTATACTTAGCGCTTACCAGCGTACGCCAGCCGGCAGTGCCGGTAGGGAGGACTCGCATACCTCCGAATCTGGCGTTCCGCGCGTCACAGCACACAACGGACTAACCCCCGACAACCCCCCCCCCTAGCGTACGCTGGAAGCCAGCGTTTCACCAGCGTTTTGCTAGCGTTTGCAGCGGCAGGGGAGTAGAGACTATGGGAGAGCTGGAGGGTACAAAATACATCGATTGCGCGTCTCTCACTCACCCTCATTCCTCTACTATACACATCGATTGCGCGTCTCTGACGACACACTATTCTAGTACATACGCCATCGAATTGCGCGTCCCTGCCGACGCCAACATATCTCTACAATACACATCGATTGTGCGTCTCTGACGGCCCAGAGCATAAGTCTCTGCAAGGTCTCTCAAATATTGGGTTGGCACATAAGTACTTTCGTTTTTTTTCAACCGGAAATTTCGTTCCAAAGATGAAATGTTTTGCTAGCAAGCTTGATATCATCCACTATCGGTCGGAAACTCCACAACGTAGTTTTAGAAATCCGAAATCGGGACTTCGGTTCGAGGAATAAATTTCTTCGTGGAATATATTCCTCTAGATGCGTGAAAACGATTCAAGGACGCAAGTCGGCCGAAAATTAGCAACTTCGGAACAATCGCCTCTATTCACGTATACCGTCAGGTGCTAATCGCCTCTAACACGCTGCTCCATCACATCTCGGACAGCATCAGCTCACAAGCTTCCCACAAAGGAATACAACCTCACACTAGCCCACGCTTTGGAGACGAAATTTCAAGAATTTTGAAGTTACCAACCTTCACCTCGCCGATATTGGGCAGCTCACGTCTGTTCCACCTGAAATTTTATGCTAATATTTGAATGTTTCGCTGATATGTTTTGCATGTTCTGATAGCAAATTTTGTGCTCTATAATACTTGCTGTATGAAAATCTGCTCTCCAGATGTGTTTGCTTTCTGTTAAGTTCAGGTTATCATTACGGAACGCGAAGTCGTTGAGAACTAGCGTTCCCGTTCTCCACGAATTTTATGCTAACATTTGAATGTTTCGCTAATGTGTTCTATATGTTCTGATAGCCAATTTCGTGCTCTATAACACTGTTTGCAATTATTTTAAAAATCCGTTTGATGAACTTGTTTTTCAGGTGGATAATATGGAATGTCAGGTCGATAAGCATCAGCACTTCAGACATCTCCTCCTTTTCGCATTCAACAGAGGTATCAGTACCATTCTTGAAGCGTCTGAACCAATTTTGGGCTGTTTTGAGAGAGAGGGCGCCCATCATTCTCCGTACACTTCGCGAATTTCCCGAGCAGCATCAGCAGCTCTGATACCTCTGCTGAATGCGAAAAGGGGAGATGTCTGAAGTGCTGATGCTTATCGACCTGACATTCCATATTATCCACCTGAAAAACAAGGTTCATCAACGGATTTCCAAAATAAAACGGAAACACTGTTGTTAAGAGCACGAAATTGGCTATCAGAAAATATAGAACACATTAGCGAAACATTCAAATGTTAGCATAAAATTCGTGGAGAACGGGAACGCTAGTTCTCAACGACTTCGCGTTCCGTAATGATAACCTGAACTTAACAGAAAGCAAACACCTCTGGAGAACAGATTTCTATAGCAGTGTTATAGAGCACGAAATTTGCTATCAGAACATGCAAAACATATCAGCGAAACATTCAAATATTAGCATAAAATTTCAGGTGGAACAGACGTGAGCTGCCCAATATCGGCGAGGTGAAGGTTGGTAACTTCAAAATTCTTGAAATTCGTTCCAAAGCGTCCTAGTGAGATTCCCTTGCTGGAACTTCTAGCTCGACCTTTTCCAAATGTATGGAGCAGCTTAAGCGATTTTAGCACTTCGACTATACGTAAATAGAGGCAGTTGTCGAAGGTGCTAATTTTCGCCGACTTCGCTTTCAACTTCAACGACTAAAAAATCCACAAAAATTATTCCCTCAACCAAAGCCGTTTTGATATTCTAAAACTACGTGAAGTTTCCTATCAGATGATATCAAGCTTGCTAGCAAAACATTTCATCTTTGGAACGAAATTTCCGGTTGAAAAAAAACGAAAGTACTTATGTGCCAACCCAATATTTGATTTTTGCGCGTCTCTTAACGGCCACATATTCTCTACTCCCTGCCGCGCAGCGCCAGTAAAACGCTGGTGAAACGCTGGAGAAACGCTGGCGTACGCTAGCGTTACGCTGGTGACGCTGGGAACGCTAGATCGATATCCATCCTCTCCCCGGCACTGCCGCTGGCGTACGCTGGAAGCGCTACGCTACGCTGCCGCAAAGTATAAACGCAGCCTAATGGACGACAAAGGTATACCATGTTATCGTCCGAATACCTACCTGGGGTTCCCATGGCGGCTCCATTCGGGAACCGCTTGAATTCATCCAGTTCACTGTGGAATAGGGCATTATTTTTTTCTTTTTTTTTTGATATCGCGTGTGTTATGAGATCCTTGAATAAATTTATCAACTTTTGATAGTGACTATTATTGGGACACCTTCATATTTTGCGAATAATATGGATCCGCGGTTTCAAAAAGCAGGCGACAAAGGCTCAGATTTGAATCTATTCACGCTGCTCACTAGCACTTTCGGAGAATCCACAAGCTAATGGTTGGCGGAATAAGCAAAATCCCATCTAGTCAGTATGGTTACAGGGCTTTTGCCAAGCGGACGTTCTCTCGCTGCGACGGTCCACGAGTATTTTGTCATCGCATCTTCTAGCCAAGCATTTGAAGGAAGTAAATAAGGAAGAGGGAATAGAAAAGGAAGCAAGGAAAAGAAAGTAGGAGTAAAAAAGCAAGGAGGAAGGAGGTTCGCGATTGTCAGTTATCCTGAGTCCAACCGACCATTAGCAGCCGGTAATCCGTAATCGCGGATTTTTCAAATTCGAAAAGTATGAACGCGGCCATACAAAGATGAAAGACAGACCTGACGCATATGTTTCACTATATCAAGTGGAGCAGCCAAGGTTTTCCCTAATGAGTTGTCTGCTACTCTTTTCAGCTCGGTGTTGAAGCGTTTCAAAACGTCTTCGAACAGTAGTGATAACAAAGACCCAGCCAATTCGAGACGCTTATTTCCGTAAAAATCGCGATCATCCAGATCGCATTCACCCAACTCGGCTTGAATCAACCTGAAAAAGTAGGGTGGTACAAAGCTCACAGCAGTACAACGAGAAAATTACATACCTTCGCGTCATCAGACCCAAGAATATCGCCTTCATTTTGAAATTACCGTCGTGGCAAGGAATATGACAGATCATAGAGCTGAAGAAGACATACTGAATTCATGATTGAAAAGGGAGTTATTGATTACCTTACCTTGAAAGGAAATCAACTGCCTCATGCTCTTTAGGAAGTGGAATACCAGCAGACGCCGTACTCCCACCACCATATGGACTCCCAAACTTGCGGACTTTGATCTAAGAAAAATATAGAACCTTTTCCTTCCATCTGAGAAAGAATGAGTGTGGAAGTTACTACCTTTGAAGTTATATAGTTGATCGCCTGCTGTTGAGTGTAAATGTGGTTAGAAGCACATTCGTCCAAAGAAGCAGAAAAAGCCGTAACATACCTGTCAAAAGAAAATGCCAGCATTAAAGCAATCACAAACGCTACTTACATTTCTGGCCAAACCCCTCGAAAATCAGGTCCAGGGCTTCATTTTCAGAAACTATTCCACAGGCTGAGCGGAGCTACTGCAGTGGCAATGAACCGTTCGGGGATTGAGTCTCATAGCGACACCAGCCCGGGCCTACCGAGCCCTCTGCCCTCTGAGCGGTGCAAATTGGTACCGGATTTGGTTAGAAGGATAAAACGGTGGCTTCTACATTGAGTGGACTCCGCAAGTGATTGTATGGACCATGTCGCAACCAGTCACTACGATTATGTGTGGAAGTAGATGGCGTGCAGCACCCCAGAGAGGACTGTTGAACTAGCTTCAGTCCACAAGCTACATTTAGCTAGAAATTTCTTCCGGGTGGTATATTGGGCTGGAATATAATTTATAATTGACCCACTGTACAAGACACCATATCCTGCCGGTCTGGAAACGATGGGCGATAACTTCCCATAAACAATTCTTTGAAAATATGTAAATTCCAAAAAAAAAAAACTATTTTAAAAATACAAAAAAATAAACTGCACCCGTTAGAAATAAAAAATTCGAACCTGATCGGTACCCACCGCTCTGTTGCTAGACCAACAAGCAGCTAATGCCAACCAAAAGAAAGAGGATCAATGTAATGGGGCCCCAAATGGTGAATAGTGCCAAATTCAACTTACTTCTCCTCCAGACCAATGGCACTAATAATATTATAGTCAGATTCCACGCCCATAGCCTGAAATGTCCAAGACTTAACAGTACGCAAAAAAGATAACCATCAAACTTATAAGTTTACCTTGAACACAATCGCTACCGGGATATCGTCGTTTAGCTGATTATGACGTAACCAATATCTGTTTCGGCGAGCAATCACGTAGGTTTTACTCTTTTTCTCAGCAGTAGATGAAAGAACCTATATGATGCAACGTTAGTATCAGATTTACAGTCATACTCGTCACGTATTGAAGTTGTCGAGTACTGTTTTCCATCACTGTAGCGCTTTTTAAATAAGGATTTCTCTGCGAAATTGCATGTAGCTTTAGATTTGGCCACGAATTTATCCCCTGTCCGCCGCCTTGACTTACTCACATTACTGTATTATAAAAACAATCGCCTGGCACCTTAAACAAGTGTGACATTTCAGTGAACTAACTCGGTGACAAATTTCTGGACCAAATCTACCCACAGTCACGTTTCAAGAGGAATCAACTTCAAATTTCAAAAGATTGCTCGGAAGAGGGTAAGTAGTGTCAATTTTCGTAACATGCCAACTTCCAAAAAACGCAAAACTTTCGAATTTCAAATGACCAACTTCACATTGAAGATCTTTGTTCGAATTCCGTCCTATCATTATTCTGTTTTTCGACAGCTGCTCTTGGATGAGAATGACTTTCTCTGATCCCTTGACGATAAAATAACCTCCCGGATCGTACGGGCATTCCTGTACACGTGCTAACTCTTCCTCGGCCTGAATATGTCATGATGGTTAAGTCCATGTCAATAAACCCGATCCGCTCGCAAAAAGTCAACGCTAAAATGATTTAAGATTTTATTCGCTGCGGATGATGGGGCGTGTCAAAGAGGGGATAGGTTTGGCGCGCAGCCATTTTTTTTCGCCAGGCGACAAGACTGTACGGTTTCGTTCGTATCAGTTGTTTTCAATCAGTTGTTATCGCTTACCCCTTCAAAAACTGGTAGAGAACGCGGGATCTTCACCAGTTTTTGATGGGTCTGGCGACGCGCCAACCCAGCCTTACCGACGCGTCCCTTCACTTCAGCGAATACGACCGTCCTTCTGAAAAAGTTGGGCCTCTCTAGAAGAGGTGCATACTATATGAGGGACTCAATCATTCATCTCAATAGGGTCCCAAAATGGGTGAAAACGCAACGGATGCTCACCAAGTCTTTAAGAATACATTTGCTGGATCTGAGCATTATTGGCATACGTCCAATTGTCAGATCGCGCTTGATAACCCTTTGATTACCACGAGTGTACTCGACGTCGACATTAATCGGAGCAGCATATGTCATGTCCCTCAGTCTACATTCTTGCGGTGTGATCTTGTCGTGAATCTAGAAAGAGATACATGAAATCAACCATCTCAAAGCTTGCAGTGAAAAATCAAACTCCTATAGCCTCACATTCGAGGGCTTCGCCTTACCCGATATCAAGGTACCTGCAATAGTCCACGCTTGTGTTCAGTACAGTAATCCTGAGTAAATGAGTAAAGAGAATTCAAAAAGCAAAAGAAAGACGGCATAACTTTGAGATAGAAATTCGGATTGGCATCAACTGGTGCTCCTTTGTTAGCCGACATTATCGTCTGTGATTTCTTCGTTACACCTAAAGTAGTCAAAGCTTACGATGTGCTAGCCTTTTACAGAGACCGCGGAACGCTTGTGGAAACAATATGAACGAACTCTCCTAAATTTCACAAGTTCATCAAAGGCCAGTACCTTCAGGAAGGCTGGCACAAGGAGCCATTTTTCATCGAGAGGCAAGGATTTCCTTGACTGGAGCGTCGAAAGGATTGCCATTTTACTCTGGAATGATCTGAATAAATGGAAGTGTCCATCCAGTTCAAGGTGAGAAAGTAGTCGTAGTTTTTTGCTGCCAGTCTGGTGGAGTGCGCCAGAAGGCTAGATTTGATGGCAACGCGCCCTTTTCCCCACCAATGCGCTGTCGCTTGCCTGCCGACGACAATATGAAATTGGATGACGAACAGACTGTAGCCGCGCGAAACCCCTCCCTGCACCTGATGCAGTGAAAACGACTGTATTTCCAGTCTATGGGCTTCATCATACTACACCAACTAAGTACGCTCGTCGTTATCTTAATGCTAGCTAGGAACTGGGAGTCGATTATCCCGACAAATGCGCAAAGGCTAGCCAATTAGAGTCGGAATTTACGACTGCGATACTGAGAAAAGCAATTGTTCTTATAGCAGTAAAAAGCAAAGAGGAGAAGGTGATGATCGAACCGATACGGGCTAAGAACGAGCCATAGCCTGGAAGTTAGAGACCTGCACCGCCCTAACCCCGAGCCTACTACACTCGGCATCCTTGCCTTCATAGCTAGCTAAGTGGTACCGATAGTCGTCTGAGAGGATAAGAATACTGAATTGTACATCGTCTCGCCCCCACGAGCCATTGCATGGAGTATGACCCATCCAAAAGCCACTATGATTCTGAAATCAAAAGCAAAATGAGGTGACGCCCTCCAGGACTGGTTTAGCCGAAAAAAGACGGAGAAGAGGCGTTTTAGCCGAAAAGAAGAGGAGAAGGAGGCACGTCACTACCCTAAAGGTGGGTGCTTTGTGCGCAAAGCATCAACCGAGTTTCGTCACTCAAGTTCTGCCATTTTCTTTCATTAGAAGAAAGTTGGGGAGAGGCGCGATGGAAAACATGGGAATCAGGTTGAAATTCTCGGAGGAGTAGAAGTGGAAAGGAACTTCGAGGTGGACATACTACTTCTGCCACGATTCACTACAGTAACTCCAAAAAATAACTGCAAGGCACTCGAACTTACCTATATGTGTTCAAAAAACAGGTCCACACACAGCTACGCTTCTCCGTCAAACATGGACAGTGGATACCTGAAGTAGGAATTTCTCTGAAAGCGCACCAAGAAAATGTTGCAAAACGCCTTGCTCTAGTCTAGAAATCAAAAATCAGAAAACAGCACAATATTTAAAAAAATAATAATATGCACACCGCAGCACAATGTGTCGTAAAATAGGGTGTTATTTAGAGATTGCAGACAGAATTTGTAATACCGTAATATGAAAGTGGAGTCTTCATAAACTTCGTCTCTGTGCTCTATGGGAATGTATTAGAGTTGTTAAAGGTAGTGTGGGGATAAAGAAAAAAAGGAAACGGGAACGATGGTGAATATGTGAATGGAGAGTATACTTTTGTTTTCCGACATCCACTATCCCAATGGTTTATCGAGTTTCCTTTGTATTGACCTATCTACAGGGCACATCATTGGATGGGGATTTTGGTCGAGTTCGTAACGACCCCCGCCCGCCCTTTTTTTGGACGTGGACCCTATCCCTCCGGACCATCGGTCCCTCCCTGCATTCGAAATCGACGCCGTCGAGGCGGGCGGGGGGGGGGGCGTATTATGGTATCGCATAGTCGCCAAGAAACAGGAAAATCAAGCGAAAAGATCAACTACTCCTAAAAGGCCAGAAAGTAAATACGACCCTCCTCCCAACAATGAGCAAGTACGACCCCCCCCCCTTTTACAACGTCCGTGAAGCGAGAAAAATCAACTATCAAAATAAATTTTTCTCAGCCCAAATACGACCCCCTCTCCTGGCGGCCAAATACGACCCCTCCTGTTGGGGATTCGTCACAACGATGTGCTCTGCCTATCTAGCAAACAGCTTTGTCAGTTCTCAAAAGTCGCATTCTTCAGAAGGCCATAGGTGATTGTTGAGCCCCGACTCATCGTACAGTCACGAGTGTGGGCGCGAGCGTTTGCATTCTATGACGCATACGAATGAACAGTCAGCTTTTATTCTGGACTGTTCCTCAGCGCTAAACAATGTAGAGCGCCAATAAATAGCTGGAAACTCTCCTAATGTTTCTTTCATTGTGACCGACATTCACTCCAAAGTTGCTTACCGTTCCTGAAGTTGGAATAAGTAGTAGAAGGTTCCGGTTTTGTTCCTTGTTGCTGCTTTCTAAGCATAATGCTGGCATCAATTTATAATATGAGAATGTACTTTATAATGTACTTTACACTGCCTGCATAAGCGCAACATAACTATGCCGGCCCATTTATGGCATGGAATAATTTCGCGCTCCATAGCCAATTGAGTACGGTAATCATACCGTCCTTTACTAAACGTCGATCGATCGATGTGAATTCTGTGTCATCGAAGGACAAAGAAGATTGCAGCGGCGATGTGTGATGATGATCTGAATCTATTCTGCAGGCTCTTTACGTCGATAACACTTCTGCATGTGGTCTTACCTTGCATTAAGGCTCCCGATAATTCTTCAGAAATGTGGCCGCTGTTTAGATAGGTTTTAGCGTGATTTTCACCTTTTCTTTGAAATGCCATTTGCTCCGAGAAACAGATTGTTGCGGGAAAACCACACTTGTTTTGTGTATATTCACAGTGTTCTTTCACCTTTACAACGTTCACATACATTTTTCTTTCGTTCATCGTTATGTATTCACATGCTTCGTACAGCTGTTATCACGTTTTCACTGCTGAATAGATGAACTTTTCTTCGAGAACAGATGATTAAAAGCAAGCCCAGTGCTAACTACTTGTTAGTAATATCCTTTCACAACGTTTTCTTGCAAAAGGGCAATAACTTCATTGGCTGCTCTATTTGCTAAGCTATTTGCATTGATTTTAGCTGAAAGGTGCCTTTTCTCTTGCTTATGGAATGAAAGCCGGTATCAGGTAAAGACTGTGAGAAAGACCATTCTCAGCTTAAGGGTTACGCAGTAGGGGTTGGGGAATTATGAGCCTGGAACCTTCCTGTACATCACTTTTATGAGGAGCTTAGTGGGTCTGGGAGGGGGGAATGTCAAAAACTTCAGGAAAATCATGAAGAAGGGGTCACAAATCTTACATTACTACCATGGTGATAGGTGCAAATGGTGTTGTAACAGTATTGACAGCCAAACATTGATAGGCTCAGAAGTGAGCTTATTTTTGAAGTTGGAAGTCGGGAAATACCGTATAAAACCGTGTTACCGGGGGGGGGGGGGACAGGAGTGCACATCTCCTCCCCGGTAACACAACGGTTGTATGCGTTATTTCCCCACTGGTTTTGCGCTCATAGAGCGTTGTTCAGGGTGTTCACTTACCCACTCACCTGTTCCAGAGGGAGAGTCGCTTCGTATGGTGAGTGATTGGGTAAGTGAACACCCTGAACATAGCGATGTTCTTCCAAACAAATGGACGCTCGTTCTTCTAGTATCAGGAGTGGCCCTCAGTACTGCATGCGAGTGAGCAAACCCTGAAAATCGCGCAGCTGGGTTCAGCCTGACGCTAACATAGGCGGTTTTGCACTCGACCGCGATAGTACACGCCCACCTCGTCTCCTGACCATGAAAACAGTTGTACTGACTTATCTCGCCCACAGAAGAACAGCAGTAGTGTTTTAGCCAGCAGCTTCCATGTGCCTTATCACTCCGTGCGACATATGCTTTGATAGTTTACGAAAGTGTCTGCCTCTCCCGGTCCACCATAGAAATTGAGGAGGGTGGATATCGTGGATAGGCTTATCGTATGTAAGCTTGGCCCTTTCTACAGATTAGCTTTAAAGGTGGGAGCTAGTGACTTTCCATGTGAAACTTGTTTTTGTACACTGGAACATGTTCTTTCCCTTAAGTTCTTTTTCTGAATCCGGTACGGGAGCCACAATACAACTGCTCCATTTTTGTGCGGTGCGGTCTACTTTCAGTGAATGGGGTTGAAATTTGAATTCATTGATTCAAGAAGACTGCCCAATGAGTGGTTTAGAGCGCGTTCAGAGTTCGCGATCGCGCAAAATGGATCGCGCGCACTGGATCGCGCGATCGCGAAGTCTGAACGTTGTCTTAGTATAGTGCTGCGTCCTTTCCAGTGTGGCCGTACCTATCCAATGTCGTCATCCTCATTCTCAGGAGCAATACATGCGCACTGCCCTACCAACGAGTAAATTTAAAGGGGCTGCCCTTGAAAGTAGAGAAGCATGTCTCAAAGCGAACTAATTTGATATTTCTATTCTACTGTAAACAATTCTCAAACTCAATAAAATCGGTTTTTTCACCAGTCACATGGCGTATCGTATAATTTTGTTTTTACACTCATTTAGAAAGTTAATATTTCCAGGTAAAAGGCAAAAATGGCCTCCCGAAAGACGGTGAATCGTCGTCAACGACCCCAACGTGCCACTTCCAATGTCTTTGCTATGTTTGACCAAGCGCAGATTCCAAGTGAGTCAGGCTGAAGATTTCATCTTTACTGTGTTCAGGCTTCACCCTCTATAAGTGTTCTGAAATACTCTGTTTTCAGGAGTTCAAGGAGGCATTCAACATGATTGACCAGAATAGGGACGGATTTATCGATCAGGCGGATCTTCAAGAAATGTTCGCATCACTAGGTGCGTCAGAAGTTCTTTTGCTCAAGAGCTGTAGTATATAGTGGGTTGTTTCGATGGTAGTGTTAGGTGATTTGACAACCAGGGCACGCCATCGCGTTGTGATCATTTCCTGAAAAATACGACCCCCCTAATTCTATCCTCAAATACGACCCCCTCCCCATGCTACCTACCACTTTCCTAGATTTTCCCAACTTCCTACCACTTTTTCCATTTTTTCCCCGAAGGATTTCCAGTTTTTCGGCCGAGCATTTTCCGTCGAGCGGTGGGAAATGGGAGGGGTATGTACCCACTGTAAAACAGGTTCTCAGATTTTCCCTGACCTGCCAGTTTTTCCGAAATTTCCTTCTGGTTTTTCCCCAAAATTTTGCTGTCGAGGCGGGGGGAGGTCGTCAGGATTTAACTATCATTTTCAACTATCGGAAATAGTAGTTGTATAGATCTTTGGCAGTCCCTCTCTCAACAACGGCCAAATACGACCTCCCCTCCCTTTATAGCCGTCCGTGAAACAAGAGAAATCAACTACCAAAAAATTTTTCTCGGACCTAATACGACCCCCC